GCACTTAATCAGTGATGATAACTTCAGGGAACATCCGGGGCTCGCCCATAAAGTGCCGTTTCATTACATTTAATGCTGATTTCATACGAAACAACGCACACAATGCTTGATTAAACAATTTGTGGATTTGTTCATTTGATGCATCACGTTAGTGTGATCTCTGTGTGTGACAATGCTGGATTGTTTGTGGTCGCAGTTCTACTGGTTCTCTTTTTCTTGCTGCTCCAATGCAAATAATATTACCAAGTAAGCTGTTGGCTCTAACCCAATCTTGTGTAGAACAACACTTCAGAACATGTGATCTCACGATAATTCCTTGATTTGTACTAAACCATTTAATGTGTATAAACATTCATTACAGTGGCCAGGAGTTGTCTTAGGACATTTGATGCTTATGAATCTGCAAATTGTCACACCATCTGCTCTTAACACATGTTGTTGGTTATGTATAAATGAACTTGCATATTCAATGTGAATGTGTGCTTATTGCTTAATCTCAATTTTTTTTTAGTCTTCAGCTGCATAAAATATGTATGAATATGTGTGACTTGGCAAATAATAATCAGAATTTTTCCATTATTTCAGGTTACAAAAAGAAGCAGAAATGGCCCTTGCTGCTAGTAAAGCTGAAATGGAGCGAGAGATGCGTTACCAGAAAGATCGGCTTATGCAAGATATCCTAGATGCTCAAAATCGGCTTGTATGAAAATTTGTTGATTTTATAAATATATATAATTACCTAAGTGTAGTTGCAGGATGAGAGCTATACTCGTGGAGTCTTGTCCTCCCAGCACTCTTGCTTTGAAACTTCTGATGGTTTTGGACTTCACTACCGTCTCACTTAACTTGTTCAAGCCATCTACCACTGTTTCCAAAATAAAACTTTATAATATTTTTTTTGGGGAGCCCCATCGGCTTCCCGGAGCTATCCAGGCTGATATTGCTAATGTCAGACTTTGGCATCAGTCATGTGCATGGAATTCTTGAGGCCTACCAGGAACCACGAGCCAGAATCTGGCCTCCTCAGAGAGGCACGAGGAACAATAGCCTATAGAAACCCCCCATGTGGTTGGAAGCATTCTGTGTCTGCCATCGACCAGGTCAGGCACCCAGAAAGGTAAGCATCCCAAAACAAACCCCCTCTTCTGGTTAAGAAATTGCGACCGAGAGCTGAACTAGTGGACAGAACTCCCAAAATAAAACAGAGCTAACGAGCATGACGTCACTGTCATCGCACCGCCATCTGCACAGCTCCCCTCTCCCCGGGAGGGGGAAGGGGGAGCCCCAGACCCCAGTTCTGAGGCTGATGCTCTAGGCAGAAGTTGTGTGCTCTGGTTTCCGTCTTGGTCTCAGCTTTGTGTCTTGTGCCGTGGTGGCTGTCTTATAGGGGGTTTGTGCGCCAGGAGTGATTCTTCAGTACACGTGCTGCATGCGCCTAGGGTTACCTTCGCTAGGTGCCCAGTAAGTACTGCCCTTGGGATGTGGGGCCACCTTCCACAGTTTCCTTGGGTTCTGCCTCTGCTTGGCCGTTTACTGCTCGGTTTTCGGCGCCCTTTGTGTGCTTGGGTGTTCTGTCTCCCTTGTTCGCCTTAGGGTAGGAGACAGTTTGCACTGGTAAGGGGCGCAGGGTACTGCACAGCTTGTTTTCACCAATCAAAGCGGCCGGCTCTGTTCCGCCTGGGTACCCTGTCCTCTTGCGGGGGTTTTCCTTTTCTTTTTGTTTTCCTGCCTGGTGGGGGAGGGTCTGCCTTGGTTATTGCCCCCCCTGTATCCTGAGTACTCTTCTTTATTCCGGTGGTTTTCCCTGCTTGGTTTCCATGAGTGTACATGTCCCGGGGGTTCAGTTCTTAGAAAGTTGTTTGGTAGATTTGGGCACCGGTTAGCAGTACACTGCCTGGGTGTAAGTTCCATCTCAGGAAACTGGGAATCCCCACCGGGGCACGTTGGTCCGATGGATGTGACCCCCTGAGTCCCCCCTTCTCCCTCACTTTGTGCGAGTTCGAGGGTTGCTCCTCTTGTCTGAGGGTGACTTACTGTTTTTACCTTCATCTGCTGCCTGTTGGGTCGGTGGCACCTTCGACCCAGAGTCCTACGAGTTTTCTTGCTTATTTGTGTCTCAGTTACCCAGTCCTATGCTGACTAGGCGGGTGCAGGCAGCACGAGCGTTGCACATTGGGTTCACGTGGTTGCAATACACTAGGTTGTTTGCTCCCCGGAAGCCCTGAGGCCGCCCCATTTTGGTTGTTGTGACCAGAGCGTGGGGGTGTTGGTCGCTTCAGTTTTGTTTTAGTCCGCGCCATCTTGTCTTTCCCCTTGTTGTGGTTTAATCTGGTTCCCCCTCTCCCCTTCTTCCCTGCATCCGGATCCCCACCGTCTGTGGGGTTCGGGGTCGGGGCGGGGTTTGGATGGTCTTGGCTTGGGCAATCTCGTGGATTTCCACTTCCGAGGTAGCGACAAAGACATTCGAGCCTATTCCTCCAGCATGGGGTCTGCCAGTGGGCCCCCTTCCTTAGTGTTTATCCGGCTGCCCCGACTTTTTGTTGTGAGTCTGGGGCTTTGGGGTTACAGCTCGACCCCGGGTCCTGCCGTAGAGGTTTCCGGGGCTGGGGAGGGGCTGACTTGGGGGCCTTGGGCCCCGTTGGTCCCTGCCGAGGTTTACTACCCTCTAGTGGGGCTTGCGATTGTGGGGAGTGGTTTTTTTTTCCTCCCCCCCCTGTGTATGAGTTGTATGTAGTGGGGCTCCTCCCCGGGTTCGGTTCCTTGTCCTTTTCGATCCATCCTGCTGGTGTGTACTCTTCTCCGTTTCTCATCCTTCTTCTCTGGGACATGAGTGCTCCTTCATGTCAAGGTCATGTTCCCCTCGTATCGGGGTCCTGCAAGACCATTAGCCTCGGGTGCGGCTGTGCCGTTATGAGCCTTCATGATTTTGTGCTTGCTTCTGTAGGATCTTGAAGGTTCGGGAAGGTCTTCGATACTCTCCGTATTATTGGAACGTCTGTCATCTTCCGGTGATGCTTCTCCCCAGTCCTTTCTAAGACTCGTTGGTCCTCTTCCGGGTTGCTTCTTGGTTTTTGGTACTGTTTCGTTCTTTTGAAATTATATCTTCTCTCCGTGCTCTGTCTCGGCACTGCTAATATTCCTTAAATGCTCCTAGTCGGCGCCCTCTATGCCAAGCGGGTTGTGCGGTTCGGACCTCATGCGTCCTGCGCATGTGCTGTGGGAGTTTTTATTTATGGACGGTGTACACAAGTGTTGGTGTTTCGCGTCCTTTCTGTGGGGAGCCCCTACGGCTCCCTGGAGCTTATCGGGCTAATGTATGTTATATTAGACCGGGACATTAGCTAAGGAGTTCAGACCTTCCAGGAACCAGCACCAGAACTTGACCCCTTCAGAGAAGTTTCAGGGAGCAATGGCCCTGGAAAACCCCCTTGTGGTTGGGGCTTTCCTTATCTGCCATCGATCAGGGTTTGCACCCAGAAAGGTAGGCATAACAAAACAAACCCCACATGGTAAAAAACTAAAACAAAAAAACGAACAGAGAGGTAGAAACTCCCTACAATCCCAAGAAAAAAGCAAACAAGCAAATATCACACTTTACTGCCGTGCTGATCGTCCGCGCAGCCCTCCCCACCCTGAGAGGGGGAGCTCCGGACGTACCGCGCCGGCTGCCTAGCATCAGTTCGTTAGCTAATGTCAACCGGGATAGAAGCTTCTCTGGCCTCAGTTTCCTAGGCGGTGTTTGCCTTGTGTGGCGTTCACTGCTGTGTGTTGTGCAGTGGCCAGGAGTACCTCGTCAGTGCCGGGGCTGCATGCGCTTAGGGGCTTCCTTCCCTAAGCGCCCTGTGAGTACTGCCCCTGCATGACAGGGTTATCTTCCCTGGGGCGTTCAGGAACCATTCCCGTAGAGGTTCTTGCTGCTCTGCATTTGCGTCGCCCTTGGGGCCAGCTGGGGCTTGGGGCCCTTGTTTGGCCCTGGGTAGGGACTGGTATTGTACTGGTTAGGGCATCAAGGTGTTGTGCGACCTGCCACCGGTTCCTGTTGCCTCTGGAGACGGTGTACTTTTGCGGGGGTTTTCTTTTGTTTTTATTTTCATTTGACTGGTGGGGGTCTGCCTAGTGTGGCTATAGTTCCACTGGTAGTTTTTGGTTGCCCTCTGCTAGGCCCCCCGTAATTGTACACGTCGCAGGGGTTTTCAGTGTTGTCCTCTACCCCTTGTTATTTTTGGGTGTTTAACCGGTTAGCAACACCTTGCCTGGGCTTCCCGTAGTTGTTACCCCCTACGGGCCCTGGAAACCCCTGTCTGGGCTCGGTGGACCATTGAACGTGTCTTCCGGGTCCCAACCCGTCTTGTACGGGATCGTTGGTTGCTGTGCCCTTGGGCCAGATTCACAAAAGCACTTACGAACCTGTCCATCTTTTCTCAATCTTTGGCGGCATTGTTTCCAATTATTCAACAGTTAATGAGCTCCAAAGCACCAGGAGGCTGTTTATAATAATAACAATAGTTGAATGGGAAGTTTTCATGCTTGTAAACTGTTTAATATATGTAACCAAAGCCGTCAAAGATTGAGGAAAGATGTACACGTTCGTAAGTGCTTGCGTAAGTGCTTTTGTGAATCTGGCCCCTTGTCTCTGGGTGACAGTCACCACTTAACCACCTCCATGTTGCCTGTTGCGTCACTGACACCTTGACCCGGAGTCTTGCGAGAGAGATTCTCTGCTTGTTCTCCAGTACTCTCCTGATGTTATTACTGTTCAGAGTACAGGCGGCATCCGTGTTGCAAGCTAGGTTAGGTTGCTGCAACACGCTAGGTTGGTTTCCCACTCGGATGCCCCGAGGCCGCCCCGTTTTAGTTAGGTGCTGTTCGCCCCTTTCCCTCCCTGTTCCTGGCTCCGGACCGTCTGAAGGTTTTGGGGTCGGGGCAGGGTTTAGTTAGGGCCAAGACTCGCGCAGTTTTCGCGGGCTTCCCCGTTCGGGTTGGGGACAGAGGTTTTCGAGCCTGTTCCTCCTACTAAGGCTTCTGGGTCTTACCAGCAGCCCTTTCTTGTTGCCTTTCCCATGGACTCTTCCTTTTCTTTAAGGGCGGAGGGCTTGGAGGACGGCTCTGCCCCGGGGCCTCTGTTGCGGGTTCCCGGGGCTGTGGGGAATGTCTGCTAGCAGTTCTGGGGCAGTTTGGCCCTGCCTGGGTTTTATGCTTCTGGGCTGAGTTTTTCGCCCATCCAGTCTGCTTGCTTCCCACTTTTGCTGGCGTGTTTTCGTATCTTTTGCGTAAGTCACAGCTTTCTGTTCTGGTGGCCATTTTCTTCTGCTGGTTTCCCGGCGTGGCCACCAGGGTGGCGTTGCGGTTTGTTTACATGTGCCTGGGTGTGTGAGCGAGCGTCTGGGCTGAGTTTTCACTTTTTTCAGGGGCTTTATTTTCCTGTTGTCGTTCTTCGCTTTTCTGGTGTTTTCTGTCCGTTTCCTGTTCCTCTGGGAACTTTTGAGTGTAGATTTTATACTGGGTTTTCAGTTTTATCTGTTTTGGGTTTCGGCTCAGTGTCCATGTCTGTTATACTTGCTCCCACACCTTGTCCCTCGGTTTTCGGTCTGTTTTGACCGTTTTCCTGGGGGTTCTGTCTGGGGCTGTGCTTTGCCTTTCTGTGGTGTTTCTCCGTCAGTGAATGTGGTGGTTTGGGCTCTCCCTGCTTCAATTCCGGGT